AACAAACATGTCATTGTTTGTTTATTCCAATTAGCTGAGTCATGTGTCTGTCTACCTGTTTACTTTTGGAAACAGGGAGACAGTATGAAAATATGTGGAGGGAGAAGGTGGGAATTCTGTAATGAAACTATTTATTTTCATTTAATAAATATATTTGTGAAGGCTGGAGCACGTGGGAAATGCTACAGCTATGCAGGTACATGAGGAAGGGAGGTGGAGGGAAGTGGCCACAATGAATCAATTGATAGGAGGATGCTGTGGTCTGTAGGTAAGAATGGGGGGAAGGAGGGGAATTTTGGATGCGACTCAAGCATTACCAGGCCAGTGCACATACGCTAAGTCATGAAACTAAGAGTCCAGCTTACTTCTCACCCTTACTATGTTTTCTTATGAATCTTTATAAAGAGGCAGCTGCTTTCTATTGTATGGGCTGAAAACAATCAAGAAAGGAAAGGAAGTCAAATGGTCCATGACAAGAACTACTTGTTTTACTGCTTGTCTCCCCTTCCACCCTGACACATCTTTCCCCATTTTACACTCAGCCACACACCATAAGCTGTTTTTCACAAACACATATGGTACCTCTGCCGCATCGTTCCTGCTATATTAAAAAAATATACACCAGTCTTTCACTCTATGCATGCTTTTGCAGTGCACACTGAACTAGCTATTGCACATCCAACATCAGGAATAACACCTGTTCTTTCTTTTACACATCCCTGTGCAACAGACATCCCATCTCTCATGCACAATGTACATTCTCATTGCCAAATGCAGACCCACATGTACTAGTTTTTTCCAATATACTGCTACCCGTTATCTAGACCAGATGTGTAAACAGATGTGCATCTACAATTGTCAGCCAGTACAATGCCAGCATCAAAAACTCATTTGCAGACAATAAGGCAGGCATATCCATTACACTGAAAATAACCAGTTTATGCATTTATACAAGTAAATAAGAAAGGAAAACAAGGAAAATAATAAACTGTCAATACTAACGAAATTTGTCAATAAATAAAGGAAGGCTATGGCAAAGAAGCAGTGAAGAAATGTACGCTAAGTTTAAAATATTTAAAATAACTAATTTACAAGAAATTTTAATTTGTTGTAAGAAAAATCCTTTGTAAATATTGGCACATGATCCATCAAGAAATTCTTCTGTGCAAGTTCAATTGAAATGAATTGAACTTGCATTTATGCATTTCAATGAGAACTATGCAAGACAGTATTCTGGCAGGCTGTATAATGTTCCCTTAAGATGTTGTGGAACCTTTCTGAGATCTTCAAGGGAAAATCGAATAGCCATTGCTCTAACAGTGATACTTCCAGAGCATATTCTGCTTACTGTGCCCATTCCTAATAATGTCTGAACTGGACCTGTGTCCTTAGTTACATTCCATTTGAAATACTATAATACATGCTATGGGAGTCTACCTTTGACAGTTGTTCAGAAACTTCAGCTGGTCTAGAATGTTGTGGACAGACTGTTGCCAGGGCCTGCTTACAAGCACAATGTAACTTCATTCTAGAGCAGTTTCACTAGCTACCTGTATCCAGAGCAAATTCAAAGTGATGGCTATGATCTATAAAGTTCTGGTGTGGGTCCAGGCTACCAGAAGGACTGCTTTCTTTCATAGGAGCCCATCCAGTACTTAAGATCCCCTGGAGAGACCCTTTGTTTGAGACCACTTCCTTCGGAGGCATATTTGGAGAGACTTTTTGGTGACTACTTCTAGGCTGCAGGACTCCATCTCAAGGAAGGCTAGGTTTGTGCTCTCCCTCTCCCTCTGTTGTCCTTCTGCCAGCAAGCAAAGACAGTTTTATTACAGAGGTCTTTAACCTGTAAGTGGGTCTGATGAAATGAGTTTCGATTTTTTCCTGTATTGGTCAAGTTTCTATGGTATGTTAATGCACTGTTTGTTTTAATCTATTTTACATGTTTTTGTAAGCCTTTTTTGAGTGCCATTTTATTAGAAAGGTGGGTAAAAGTAAATTATGTAAGGAATTATCTAGAGCCATCCCATAAGTGTGACCTGTACAGGGATCCAATGGCTCTTAGCATCTGGAAGGCCATAGGATCATTTGACTTCCCAGTTCTGATGCTGGAAAAAAATGTCTGACCACAGACCAAGAATCTGTTCTTGAATTCCCTCTGCCTCCCTCACAGTTGACATGGAAAGAACTGCTTGAGCTGTCTCTTGAGATCATATGATTAATTTCAGAGAATGAGTGAAGATGGTGGGGAAGGGAAAGAGTCCAGGTCTCCCCTTCTCATCCAAAGTCCCTCAACTAGGCAGGAGAAATCAGTCATCTACCTGATTTGCCAAGTGTGAGGAGCAAATCAGCTGCACTCATCCGAGTAGTTGTTGTTGTTAGTCGCGAAGTCGTGTCCAACCCATCACGACCCCATGGACAACATTCCTCCAGGCCTTCCTGTCCTCCACCATCCCCCAGAGTCCACTTAAGCTCATGCCAACTGCTTCAGTGACTCCATCTAGCCACCTCATTCTCTGCCGTCCCCTCCTTCTTTTGCCGTCAACTGTTCCCAGCATCAGGCTTTTCTCCAGGGAGTCCTTCCTTCTCATTAGGTGTCCAAAGTATTTGAGTTCCATCTTCAGTATCTGGCCTTCTAAAGAGCAGTCAGGGTTGATCTCCTCTAGGACTGACCAGTTTGATCACCTTGCCATCCAAGGGACTCACAGGATCATGGATCACTGCCTTGTCATTGTGAAGGGGCTTGCGTAGCTCAATGAAGCTATGAGCTATGCTGTGCAGGGCCACCCAAGACAGACAGGTCATAGCAGAGAGCTCTGACAAAACGTGATCCACTGGAGAAGGAAATGGCAACCCACTCCAGTATCCTTGCCATGAAAACCCCATGGAAAGTACCAAAAGGCTCATCTGAGTAGGATGCCTGCAATCATTTAGGTTCAGAGACTTCAGGCACCCGCTTTGTACTGCACCCTTACAGACAAGGATTTATTGTGTCACCAGCCTGCTTCAAACATGAACTAGTGCAAGGACCCAGATGATGACATCTTTCATTTGCAGCCGTTTTCCCACTGCTTCTTCTTTTTCTTGTTGCTATTGTATGCTGTCAAGTTTTCGCTTTCAGGGCAACTTCTGGCTTAATTTGATAGAGGACCCACTTTTTCATCTTTCTGTCAGTCGTAGGAATACGTAAAGCTCTCCTCCAGCACCATGTTTCAAATGCTTCAATTTTCTGTCAGCTTTCATCACTGTCCACCTTTCACAGCCATACATTGTCTTTTTTTTCTTAGCACAGAAAATCTCTTATGGACAGAAAGATAAAAGAGATGCACAATGCCTTTAGACCAGTAGCACTGGAACTGTCCATCAGGAAACACCCTTATCTGCCAGTACATGCTAACATCTTGTGCTCCTTCTAGACAGTGGGCTCCTAGTACTGGCAATGAAGACACTGTGCAGCTATTGTATCTTTCCCTCCTTAAACAATTTCTGTTGTAAAAAGAAAAGTAAAGAAAAAAAACCTGTGTGGGGTAGGGGCAACCAGGATCATCACAAAAGGAATACAACGTCACCCGAACACACATAATTATGTGAATCAAGTACAGCATTTATTGTGATTTCATGTGAAAAGCCTCATCTAGAAACACACTCAATGCTTTGGGCATGGCAGCAACCCCAAGCACTGAAAATGGAATCATTATTTATACAAGGTAGTCTGTAGACATGCATATGAGCTATTATTAAAAGGTGTTTTGGGAGCTTTTTCCAGTAAATATTATGCTGATCCTTGTCTTAGATGATCCTTGCTGGACTAAAACTTATAGAGTGGAACTCCTAGGCACAGCTGTTATCTCTAATTTGAAAGTGCTTAAGGCAGTTTTTGAGCAATGCAGTGTCTTGAGGTGATTTAGTGGAGTTTTTTTATAGTGCAGGATTTTTTATAGAGCATGAATATAATAGATTTGGATGAGACCAGACTATTGGTGCAAATTTGATTATTTCTCCTCACTCCCATTTCTTTCACAGGATTCAGTTACTTTCGTCATTGGAAGAAAACCCATTTGTATACGTAAACCTTCTTTAATAGGTTATTTTTTGCTGTTTCCAGGTAAAGACTGGAAGGGCTAGTCTGTGTCTTTAGTGGTGTCATCCATTGACTCCCCCAACCTGATGCCCTCCAGCTGTCTCATTATGAACCTGCCTGTATATCAAGATCTGCAGGAAATGTACTTTCAAGGGTACCATTAACAGCTGAGGTCCACCTGTCAGACAGGCATTAAAAGACTTTTTCTTAGGTTGCCCCCAAACAAGAGGAAGTTTCTTCAAGAATTGCAAAAGGGTATAAAGAAACATCTGTTCGATTTAGTCTTTTAAAATGTGTAAGTTTTAATATTGTATTGCTTTTAAGGCAGTCCTTATTTCTGTGATATTTTATTGTTTAAAATTGCTATACTCTGATGGCCTTGGCAGGTTTTTTTTTAAGCAGATAAGCAGGTACTGTATATAACTGGAAATAATGCACCAAGTGCCGTAAGCAAATATTCTTTGGACTTCCAATTCCCGACAGCGCCACCTAACACAGGCAATGGTCACAAATTATAGCCTAAAACATCTGGAAGGCTCCCGCTTAGGGGAGGCTGAAACAGACACATTAAAAATTACTGTTTTCTTACTTAGAGGCGGCACGGCTGCCGGGGCAAAAGCCTCACCCCGCCAGCCAATTCCAGCCCGTCAGCCACACGGCTGTTCAAGGCTGTCTGCCTTCCCTTCGGCCGCCTGCCTATCCCGCAGGCGCCGCAGCGCGGAGGCCGCTCTCCTTTCGCGCCGGGCCGGCTGCCGCAGCGAGGAAAGCCCTAGTCCTAGTGCGGTTTTCCGGCGGCCCCAGAGCAATGGGCGCTTCCTCCTACGACGCTGCCCGTCCCTCCCTCAGCGGCCTCTGGGAGGCGGCAAAGGAAGAAGGCGGAGCAGCTCCGGGAAGAGCGGCGGTGAGTGGAGGAAGGAAGAGGAGGCCCGCCGCCGCCGCCGCCGCTCCTTCTGCCAGGCCCTGGCCGGGCCTCTTCAGTAGCCGCTACGGAGGCAGGCGAGAGTAGAGAAAGCCCAACGCGTGGGGACCGTGCCTGTCTTCTCCTTCGCTGCGGAACGGCCCCCATGTCAAGAGCGGCGGCGGCGGCGGCGGCGGCGGCTGGGCTCTGAGCGGCGGCGGCTCGTCCTACTCATTCAACTTTTCCCGTCTTTCGCTGCTGGGGGCGCGCAGCCGCCGACGCGACTCCGCGGCTGCGAGGGAAGAGAGGCCGCGGCCTGCAGGCGCAGCTCTCGAGGGAAGGGGTGGCAGGGGTTGCAGGTCCGTGAGGCGCAGGATGTCACGCCAGACCGTCACGGTCCGGGCTTCCCGGCGGCCCCAGTAAAGCCCGGGCGGAAGAGACTCTTATGAGGCCTCTCCGTGGCCCAGGGGGTGCCTCCGCCGGGCCCTCCTTCCCCTGAGCGGTGGGGGAGACCCCGAAAAACAGACTGGCGAGAAAAGCCCGGCGCTGCCTCCCGGCTTTCGGAGCGGCCTGCGCGGACTGTCCCAGCCCTCGGTCCCGCCGGCCCCTAGACACGGATCCAGCCCGCATACACCTCGTTGGAAGTGATGTCTTCTGCCAGCTCCGTGGACATGATTGAAACCCCCCCGGTGCTCAACTTCGAAAAAATTGACTACAAAGAGATTGAAGTGGAAGAGGTGAGTCCCAAAGGGATATTTGAGCGAGCTTAAACGCGCCGACTCAGGAGTAAGTCTCACCTGCTCCAGAGAAACCCACGTCCTGGGATATATATGTGTGACTGCACCCTTGATGCCTCCAATCAACCCCACCATCAGTGTCTCATGCTGGAATGAGGCTGCAATCCTCTGCTTGCTTGCTTGCTCATTAGGAATTAAGCTTCCCTTGAGTGGCATGCATAGGATTATTCTGCAAATATAGAAGAGGTGCAAGACTTGAGGCTGTTTGGAAAGCTGCCCACCCCACCACCCCACCCCTAGCCCAGATGTGTACTTGTACTCATCACCCATTGGTGAGAGAAGGATACTTCAGATAATGCTTACCACAGTAAAACTTTTGGCCTTAGATCAAGCAAACCCAGGTTCAAGTCTCCATGCAGCTGTCAAGCAGGTGATTTTGAGCCAGTTGCCATCCCTCAATTGAAGTCACAGTTTTCCACAACACCAAGTTCCTCCGGAGGAAGCTGGGCTAAAAATAATAATAGTAAAACGGTTTGCTGTATGTACTTTATTATAGACCCAGAGCTGAGCTTTGATTAAACTGATTCTGAGGCTGACCTGTTGAGAACGGCTTGAGCACATCAAAAAAGTGTGTGCACTTCTTTAGACATCCATTCAGTTCTTTACAACAGGAACTTAAAACTTAAGCAAATTTTAATTGGTGTTTTGTTTGCTTTGTTTTTCTTCCATGTGTAACATTTTAAGTCTCATATATCATTGGAGTGGGAAAGGTGGTACTCCAGGGTTTGGGGTATAACTGAGTGAGTACCTGTTTTGTCAGCCATAGCTGCTTCACATACCATGGTTTCCCAAAGCAAAAAGCTCTTCTATGGAGCCTTTGGAGAGCATGAAACCTGTGTGTGAGCATCCCATACATGTGTAACTTGATTTGTATGCTGGGAGACTGTAGAAGTTCACTGCTTCCCAATATGTGTATATATTGTATAAAATACACACATGATTTCAACGTGGACCCCTCATCCCTCTCAGTCACTTCTTATTCTGTCCATGGGGTGCCTCTCCCTATACCTCTCCTTTATGTATAAAGCTGTTTATTCTAATTTTGAAAGGCCTTATGGCCTTGTTGCTCCTCAGTCACTCCACTTTTACATCCCAAGGCATCCTTATCCTCCTACAACCCTGAACCATCCAAATGCCACCTCCCTAAAACATGTGATATTGCCAATCCAGCATAAACATGAAGCTGGTTTGTTCCTATAACTGGTAGTAGAATGTACCAGGAAGGGGAAAGATGAGAACAAGCACCAAGGCAGAGTAAATCAAGCTAGAACCTAATTAAATTACAGCTTCTGGATGGATAATGACAGGGCAAGGCAAGGGACCAAATACCATTGGTACCTGGTGCTATTTGCACCAGTGTGTACTGGGAGAAGTACACTGTAAATATCAAGTTGGGGTAGGAGCTAGCTTTGACTGGGCATCTTTTGTAACCAACCAGTCTTGGTGCAGCAGGAACAAAGACCCCCAAGCTAAGCCAGAATTGAGCCATTGCTCCTTAGACCCATAAGCATAGGACAGGTTATTATTCTTACCCGTTGTGCCATTGCTCAGCGCATTAGTTGTGACTGAAATAATAAGACAGTGAAAGTGAACAGAAACAAGCAACAAAAAAAGTCTGCCAGGGGGAAGACAAAATTCCAGACCTGAATGGTCAGGAAGGAATTACCTGACTGGAAATGTATCAGTTTAGAAACTGGCAAATCACCCTGAAGAAACTCATACACCACAGTTAGATTGGGTTTGATCCCACTGAAGTTAATATGACTTGTATATTTGCGTAGTTGTGTCATAATCATGGGAGACTTACTGCATTTTGTTCTTTCAACTAGACAGATCCAAGAACTGATGGCGTTATTTTCACAGGAATCACATAGGTTGATGTAGGCATCACCCTCAAATGTAGCATTTGATCAGCCATTTTTCTCACAAAGACCTGAGATGAATGTGAGTGGTTGTTCTTTTAAATAGGTTTGATTGATGTCTCCAGATTAATATTCTGTGATGAAAGAGAAACAGAGCAGGAACTAACATGTCTGTCAACATGTGTGTCAACAAATATTGCAAATATTGTTAAGTGGAATTTACAAAAGTAAAAAGTGAAAACAGATCACACTCAAATATGATCATTTCTTCTCAAACTGATGTAAATCATTTTTAGTCTACATGTAAGGCATATATGTGTATAGCTCCTGCTTTCAGATTCTCATACCTTGTTACTCTTGGATATGGAGATAACATTTATTTCATGACATCATGAGGATAAAATTGGCCAAGAGGTTATGCTCCATTTGAAGGAGTGTGTGCAGTCATTTGTGTGTTACCTATGAAAACAGCGGCATTGGTGGTAAAATCTTCTTAACTTGTGCAGTAAAGGCTCTTCAAGAAGATAGCTTTGACTAATACCTGATGTTTAAAAAGACTTTCATCCTACTTGAGAGTAGGTATTCTCAATTGAGAATAAAGCCCATTGAGGCTAGAATTTATCTTCTTCATCTGGCTTGCGCAAGATTGTTTATCCTGGATTAATCGCAAACTCCCATATGTATACAATTTATGTCTTCACTAAAGTGTATGTATCTGAAAGTGAATATTTTTACATTAAACTCCTGCATTGTTGAGGGAACATAAGGACATAGGCTCATGTATTTCCACCCTTCCTCCTATTATTGCCTTTTGCAGGCCTTTTGAAGGATATAAAGATATATGTTAAGTCATTATGCAAAGTTAAGAAAATGATTAATGGGGACTCTGCAGATAGTTTGAATTAGTATCTGAACATTTCCATTTTTTATTTAGGTTGTTGGAAGAGGAGCCTTTGGAGTGGTTTGCAAAGCAAAATGGCGAGGGAAAGATGTGGCTATTAAGCAAATAGAAAGTGAATCTGAACGAAAAGCCTTCATAGTAGAGGTACTGTTTTGTTTTGTTGTTTTGTTTTGTTTTGTTTTATTGAGAACACAAACTTACAGGTAACTTGCTGGTTTCAGAATAATATTTAGATTATGTTTGACCAGAATGCACCTGACCAAAAAAAAAAGAAATATAGTAATGTGTATTTGGAGACACAAACACATGGTTAAGTAAAATAGTATGTGTGCTTATACTTTTTATTTCTGGTTTTTTATTATTATTATTATTTGGTAATGGGATTCAACTAGGGAAGTAGATTTCCAGACTTGCCTGTAGGTATATTCTGTAAACCAGATTGGCTTGGAAATTGCACCAGTTGGATTATTGCTGTCCTGCCTTTCCAGCCTCTCTGCCCTGATCAGATTATTCTTTTCTCATGCCTTGGCTGTATCTTTAGAAAGTACAGTAAGAGTTGCCTTCCCCATGTTTCCTACTGGTCATTCTAAAAAGACTGAGATGCTGTAGTGAAGAATTGTTTATGTATGTGTAATCATTGGATTAACATTCACGGTTGGGTTCAGTGTCTAGGGGTATTACAGATGGGGAGGAGGCATAAGTTTCCTAACTGGTAGACCCTCCCTTCTTTACAAGGGTTTCCCAAAATAGAATTACTGATAGGCTGCCATCATTCAAATTGAACCTTCTGACATACTTTAGTTTGTCAAGCTGCTTGGAGATTTTCTGAACCCTATTGCCAAAACCTGCCCATCTGAGCCCTATGAAATTAAAACAAGAAAGATCTTTAGTTTCAGAGTATATGAGAGCTTATTGCAGAAAGAGCAGCTTAGTATCCCATTTGATCAACAGTGGACAATTTGTGGCCCTCCAGACATTTTGGCCTACAATTCCCTTTCAGCCTTAGCCAGCATAGTTAATGGTAAAGGATCCTGACAATTGTTGGCCAAAATATCTGGAGGACCACTTGATGCCTAATAATATATAGATGGTAATAGTAAAAAAACACAGAGAGAAATCATTTTTATGGACACTTGTGTTCAGTAAAAACTGACTGCCAAGGAGAAACTGATTCTTGTTTTGTCACAAGCTTAACAGAAAATGAATTTCTTAACAAACCCCTTTTTGGGAACCAGCAAAGTATCTTTCTTACAAGAATGGAAGAACACATAGTACTTAGTGTAAGACAATTTCTTATCCAGTTCTATCATCCAGTGCCCCAGAATTAAACCTGTGGGCTCTTTGGAAAACATCAAATTGGCTTGTTGACGAAAATGAATATACATTTAGTAAAACATTGCACATTTCTAGTGTGGGGAACCCAATATAGCTTACACTGTTCTCCTCTGCTACATTTTATCGTCACAACAACAGCATCCCTGTGGGTAGGTTTGAAGCTTGGAATGATACCTTTTATATCTGATGTTACTTTAGTCAGCAAATAAAAAAAATCTTAATTGCTGGATGCATCTTCATAATGACCCTAAGCTTGTATCACAAAAAAGCTAGCCAGTTTGAACCAGACAAACTAGTATTAACAAGAGATATTGGGGAACAAAAAGCAATAATAGTCGTCCCAGCATGCCAACTAACTAGTTAGTACAAAGGACATTTGTTGTATTAATCAAAATTTAGGGAGTGGTCACAAGGAATTATGCTTCTTCATTTAAGTTACACGATAATATATAAAATCTCTGTGAGGTATGCTGTGCAATTACAGTACATGCAGGCTACACTACATTCTGATTCAAGCGAGAACTTCAACTCTTCCCCCAGAACCGGAAAACCTTGATCTGTGTAGCAGTGTATCCACCACCACCCATACACACATACACCAAAGATATGGACAAATAAGATTAGTTATTCAAACTAACAAACATTGTATCAACAGGAGATCAGCAGCATAGACAATCAGAAAGTTCAGGACTTTCCACCTCCTCTCATGCTTTGTATGTACCAATGGAAATCGTTGTCCTTACAGTTAATGGAAAGATGCAATCACAGTGAGTAGTGGTTGCTTTCATGATCTATGAAGATGTACAAATTGCATTGCAATATAATCTGCTTTGTCAAGAGACATCTCTTGCAATGTATTGTGTTCCAGCATTGAGTAGCAAAGTGGGTGCCAGTCACAGTTGGCTCCTTTTGGTCTATGTAGCTCCAAGCCAGGAGGAATTGGGAAGCCAGGTCCAAACTTCTAGTGTAGTTAAAGACCTATCTTTCTACTGACCATAGACAAGAAAGATAAACATATATGTTTAGTTCCTTCAACCAATAGAAATTACAGCATAGTTTCTTTAGGGCAAAATTAGCAATTCTCTATTTTCAAGCATTCAGCATGAGGACAGTTAACTTTTGTAGATCCTGAAGCAAGCACACCTCACAGCAGCCAATCAGCTCTAATCTTCATGCCATAAAAGCAAACAGTGGTTTCCTGTTTGGTGGGACAAGTCATCTAGCAATGGTTATGTCTCACCACCACCTAGACACAGACAGTGCTCACAAGACCAAGATACTTTGTAGTAGTGATCTTAGCTCCTTCTCTCCAGTTTCTTTTCTGCCTTTTTATCACAGTCTCATTTTTTTCTTTCTTCTTCTTTTACACTTTTTATAGTCATCTAGCCCATTCATTGCTTACCTGATTCTTTCTATTTGTTGTATCCGTTACTCTGGTTCATTTGTTTAAAGAATAAAAGCCTTTTACGCTAATGCCTTTCTTCAGAAGTTTTACGCTAATGCCTTTCTTCAGAAGTTTTGCTTCTGAATTCTCCCACTTCTCTCCTCTTTCCGTCTTTCTCCTCTTTGCAAAGGGCAAACAATAACATCTTCACCAAAGAAGGAAGATTTGTCACAGTTAGGCAGAATAGAAGTCAGTCTCCTGTCAAGACTTCTGATGAAACATTTGAAGGGTCCTCTAATGATCCATCCATGAGTATGCCTGGAAAGAAGGGCAAAAGCACCCATTTCTTCCTTATCTCTTTCCAACAGTTACAATAGAATATGGTCAGCTCTTCCCGACATGTATATAGGCTCCTTCAAATTGTTGAGTTCAGGCTTTTCTTACTGTATGAGTGCACTATCTTCCTTTGTTACTTGGTGTAGTATGTAAGAGCTTTACGCATGGAAGTATATCTTCTACATAATCTCTTAGAAGGGTAATTTTAGAAAATGAACTGGTTTGTGTGGGTGCATGTAACATAGGGATCTGCACCAAAAAATAGTCATGTTAATTGGTTTTGATGGAGTATCACACTCCCATTGCTGTTCTTGGACTAGCTTGTGGCACTGAGAGGTTCTCCCGCAGGGTACTTGTGGGGCAAGCAAATGCCCAAACATGACTAACAAAGTGACTGCGGTGATGGGGGACATTCAGGCTACTACAGGAGGTAGGGATCTGGCCATCATAACCTGATATAGAGACCTGTTGATTCTTTTTCATCCCTAAAGCTTGTGACCAACTATAAGTTAAGTGAATAACATTTGGAACTATGGGCCTTAGAACTACATTTTTTTTAAATCAAAGTCAACAGATTTAATTTGTGCTGTAGGCCTGAATTCAACAATTGGTTGGAGTTTTTGACTGATTTAAAATATCAGTGAAGTATTAGCATTGCCAGATACCTCTTGCATGGTCTTTGTAATATTTGCATACACCTCTAAATTAATAAAGACCTCTTATTTTTATTCTGAAAGAAAGTGGATATATGTAACATTAAGCTACCTGGGTAAACACAAACATCAGACTTAGAAACATAGAAACATAGAAAACAGAGCGAGTCAGAAGGGGCCTCCCAGGCCATCTAGTCTGACCTCCTGCACCAGCCGGCTCTGCTCACGACATGCCCACCATGTGGACGTCCAACCTATCCTTGAACACCCGCACCAATGGGGCCTCACCCACCTCCTGGGGAAGCCCGTTCCACACCCTCGGGGTCCTGACTGTCAGAAAGTGCTTCCTGGCATCCAAATGGAACCTTGGCTCCCTGAGCTTTGCTCCATTGGAGCACATTCTGCCTTCCTCTGCAGGGGAGAACAGGTCTCTACCCATCTCCATGTGACATCCCCTCACATACCTGTATATTGCCAACATATCCCCTCTGAGTCTCCTCTTCTCCAGGCTGAAGAGACCCAGTTCCCTCAGTCTCGCTTCATACAGCATCCCCTGCAAACCGGCCACCAACCTTGTGGCCCTACGCTGCACTGACTCTAACCTGACTATATCCTTTCTGTAATGAGGGGCCCAAAACTGAACACAATACTCCAGTTGCGGGTGCACTAGTGTCATGTAGAGTGGTAGTAATACCTCTCTTGATCTAGAAGCCACACTTCTGGCTATACAACCAAGGGTGGCATTCGCCCTCTTGACCACCACATCACACTGCTGACTCATGTTTAGCCTGCAGTCAACCAGTACCCCTAGGTCCCTTTCACAAGTGCTGCTCTCCAGCCACTTATCACCTAACCTGTACTTATGACAGCTATTCCTATGCCCCAAGTGCAAGACCTTGCACTTATCCACATTGAACGCCATCCTGTTGTCTCCTGCCCACTTCCATAGTCGGTCCAGATCCTTTTGGATCTGGACTACCTTTTCCTCAGTTGTGGCCACTGCTCCAGTTTTAGTGTCATCTGCGAATTTGATCAGCAGACTGTTCACCCCTTCTTCCATGTCGTTAATGAAAAGATTAAACAGGATCGGCCCCAGGACAGAGCCCTGGAGGACCCTGCTTGTCACTGGCCGCCATTCCGATGGTTCCCCGTTAATGGTTACCTTCTGCTTTCGGTCAGTCAACCATGCCCTAATCCACCAGACAGTGCTTTGGTGT